TATATATAATAAATAATATATATAATAATATATACACACACACACACACACACACACACACACACACACACACACACACACACATATATATATATTTTTAAGGTAAGTGAGTATTTGACCGGGATTTTCGCAAGCAATCTATGTATAGAATGCGGTATGTAGGTAGGTAGGTAAGTCAATATTACTTGACGCATGGGAACGCTGTACGGTTCCGATTTTGCCTGCTTCCAATTGGTCGGCGTAGTCAGCGTCGTCTTCCTGCGAAAATGAAAACATGATCACAGCGCAAGTTCTATCAGTGTTTCAGGGTATTGGAAACAGGGCTATTAAGCATGGCTTAGTAGGGTTTTATGGTACTAATTACAGAGTTGCATGGTTTATGCTGGTTTACGTCTATAAGGTTTAATGGGTTTTAAAGACACGGGTGTAAGGTATGGTCCAATATGGTTCCATGGTTCTGAAGACAGGGTTATAAAGCAAGGTCTCTTATGGTTTCATGGTACTGACGACAGGGGTATAAGGGGTTCAGGGTTTAGGATTTAAGGTTTAGTCTATGAAGGGGTACAGGAGATATACCCGAGACTCATCATATCGTGATCATTGGTATTTGAGGGTTTTAGGGGTTTAGGGTTTTAGGGTTTTAGGGTTTGTGGATAGCATGTACGTTGCACGCTAACGCCAGAGATTCATGGTGCAGTGATACTCATAGCATCCGTGTGTTGTGTATTAAACATAATTTATGTTTGTTTGTTAAGACTTGGATGGCCATGCTTGTAAACACCTGGGTTGTATAGGCTGATTGTGTTTGTGCCTGTAGGTGCTTAAGGGGTAAAAAAAGGCATGTAGGTAGTTCTGTTTTTCAAACGAAAACCCATAACCTAGTTTGTGTCGTCAACTATGCGGGTATCAGCCCCTCATCATTCAGATTGTGTCGCAAACTACATAACTTTTCGTGGACAGGGGTGATTCCATTCGTCGTAAATTAAGTACCGACATGTCGTAAATTGCTTACCTCCTTGACTGGGTCGTATAGCAGTGGGTTGCGCTTCATGTCGCTCAGTCGTTTCTGCAGTTGTGTCAGCCGTTGGCGTTTTCTGGCTTTTCTGCGTTGCTCCACAATCTCAAGTTCTATTTATAGAATCGTGACGTGTACAGATAGTGTTTAATAGCTTGAATCTTCACGGCGTATAGGCAGATGCTGACTCATCACTCCGTGCTATAAATAGAACTCGAGCTATTATTGATTCGTCATACAATTCTAACAGCACGTCACGCACGCGACAACCGGCCTTGACCATTAGTGCAAGACCAACGCCTAGGATAAGCATTAGATACGAATATCCCCTTCATACAGACACTATACGAGCTATGCATTTGCCATAAACAGCACACCATCTGCTATAAAAGAACATCATCTGCAAAAAAGAGAACACC